ACACCCACACCCTATATAAGTTATTAATGATAATGTGATCATCAGTCTTTGATGAACTCGATATTTTTTGATAAAAAATATCTACAAAAAAGGGTGATACAACTAAACATGATTATATTATTGTTGATATTCAATGAGTTACTGTTTCATCTCATAGTATTATTCTTCATATGTCTATCGTAATGGAAAAATATATTCGGAATGAGAACAAAAATAAATTAAGCTGTTATTAATTTGTTTTTTTTCTTAAAATAATATTGTATTATCAAATGTTTATTGCAAGAAAACAAAAAAACAATAATCTTATAAATACGTATGCACAGATAAGTCCATAGATCAAAGAAGGATCAGAAGAAAACAGAAAGATCGTAGAAAAGAGCAAAGAAAATACCTGATGTATTCGAACAACATCAGTCGAACAAAAATATTGACTCATTCTTGGAAAAAAACCCAACGAAAGAAAGAGTAAAGAAATTACCTGGCAAAAGTATTGACTCTCATGTTTGGGAAAATCCAACAGAAGAAAGAAAAAAATATCTAGTAAAAAGATTATATCGTATGTATAAGCTACCAATTCTATTGAGATATTATCAATTCACATTTCGCACAGAACATAACACAATATTCTCCTACGCATTCATCATTTTTTTTTTTGCAACATAAACACCTGTTAGCATATCAACCAATAAAATATCAGCATTACGACGTCTCATCTAACAGTAAGAAAAAGAAAACCTAACCATCAGTAAATTCTATGTAATTTCGTACAACTTGAGAAAATGACGATGATATATAGTAAAAAAATAAAACATTTACTTCTGTTTTATGACTATATAGCAGACTGATTTGTATTGAATCGAACACAGGTCAGTCTGTTTTTCGTTTGATCCGTTTTCAATATTACACTTCTGCGCTTTGTTGTGATCCTTATTAGACTCCTTCTTTATTGTTATTTCTTCCGATCACAATGTTCGCCAATGATGCATATTATTAGTTTGATGTGTTATTTATCTTTTCTCATTTATTGTTGTCATTACTTATGCCATCTCTTCTTCTTATTGTTATACCGTCTCTACGATCTATTCGTTTTCTTTCTCGCTGTTATAAATGCTCAAGAAAGCGTCTCAACGGCGCCCATAGTGTAACATTCAACATATGTGTCTTCTATTTTATCAAAAACATTATTCCATTCTTTGCATCTTTGCATATATAAAAACATGACGTCAAGTCTTGTTGACTCATGACTAAGGATAAATGCCACTTGGAGTGATAGGTTTTTTCTATTCTTTTCTGTTGGAGAGATATTCACATGTCTTTTTCATATGTCATTTCTTCGTTCGTCCAGCCAGAGCTTCGTATGTACTCTTGCAGCTTTGTATAAATAAAACCATGATGTCATACCTCGCTGACTCATGATTGAATGTATAAATAATAGGTCACTGGTTTTTTCCTATTAATTTCTTTCTCTATTGCGGATATTCGTATATCATTTTTACTTGTTTGTAATTCATTCGTAGATCCGCGCTCATCGATTATCTACACATTGAATAGAAATTCATTTCTTCTCTCTCTTATGTTCAAATAGCGAACCTGGTTTTGACACAAATATCTTATAGAGGAAGTTTTTAGTGCATGATAAATTTGAAAAGCATAATTTGAAGTGATGTTAGCTGTCTAAAAACTAAAAGAATAAATACGGTTTTTTCTTTGTTAATATTCTATGTCCTTATTTGACTAGTGGATATACGATTGAATACAGCCACACGTTCCCAGTATATGGTCAAAAAAATAGTTTTTCAACAATAATACACGTGCTAAAGATCGAGTCTCTTTCCATTGCCACGCATACTGTCTGAAGTGATCGTAAAAAAGGGAAAAAATAGATGATTTGCAGATCAAAATGAATACAGCTAGTGCAGGTAGTGAATTTCCACGTACATAAATACAATTATTACAAGTTTGCAAAACGTTTGGAACAATTTTTTTCCGCACGCGTTTTCGGAAGTTGATAACTGCCTGGGTATCAAAAGAAGAACGAGCTGTACTATAATAATGCGACATGCATATGTCAGCGTCCAAACTGAGATTACGTCCAATCTCAGATTGGCCTAGGCGAATGTCGGATCCGAGATTGGACGCGCCCAATCTCGGATTGACGCAATTCTGTTCATAAAAATATCAATTACCCTTTAGATAAACCTTGGATTCGAACTATTTTTTTTTTTAGTTATGTTCACACGATGCCAGTTTGTTTGGCACAATTGTCATTTGACAAATTTGAATAAAATTTTAGGAGTTATGAATAAATTTCTAGAGAACAAGAACTTTTGTGAAAAACTTTTATTACATTTTTGAGTCTAAATTTAGCTTCTTCCTAAATGCTTGTAATAATTAAAACGGCATTGTGTGAACATAATTTCAAAAAATAGTTCGAATCCAAGGTCTGTCTAAAGGGTAATTGATATTTTAATGAACAGAATTGCGTCAATCCGAGATTGAACGCGTCCAATCTCGGATCCGACATTCGCCTAGGCCAATCTGAGATTGGACGTAATCTCAGTTTGGACGCTGACACATATATCGATGTTTTTGTTTTTCTTTTCTTGTTCTTGTTCTTCTCTCTTCTTTCGTACTATTCTCTCGATGATGCCCGTTAATGACACACCATAGACGACGGTTGTGAAAATATATGAAAGAAAAGGGAGAGAATGAAGAGCAACTAAAAAGGAAAATTTCCCTATCCATGGGTATAGTGTAGTATAACTATGATTCTGATTCTGTTTACCGTCGAAACAAAGACAAAAACGTTGACAAAACATCAATAGTTACGAGCAGCGAGAAACATTGCATCATTACAAGGCAAGACAGTGGTCTTTACTTGCATGAGATTCAAAAACCGTAATACATAACGTAATTCTACACAGAAGAAAAGGTGCTTTTTAAAAGTTACATAGAATTGACTTGGTATATGAAACTGCACACGCGAAACATTTTATTTTAGTATGTACCTCCTTCGGAAGAGCGACATATACGATGATGATACACTTTATTCTCTGAAACGACTAACTATCACATGCGACGAAACATCGGATTTCCAAGTAGAACAATAAGGCGAACAATGTAATGATGGAGTCTTTTCGATTATAGAAATATTTTGTGATGTGACTTCCCTAATTACATAGACCCTGTTGAGAATAGAGAACTTCTAGCATGATTCGTACTCATATAACTTTGTTCTCGAATTATGGACATTTTACTAGAAATTTAATTTATCAAAAGATCTCATGGTAACTACGAAGTGTTGAAAGATTCATTTTGACTAAAGCTTTCACCACTTCGTAGCTACTATGAGATCTGTTGGTGAACAAGATTTCTAGTCAAAATTCTAACATTTTATGATACACAGTATATATACCTTGCCGCAAGTTAACAATCCAGGTAAATGCTTATAACTCAAGAAGAAAGGCATATGAGGAAGAGTTATTTTAGACTTTGTCTATTCTCGATATGACCTATCTAATTAGGAAAATAATATCTCAAAAGCATTTTATCACCTAAAAAGACTCCATCGTAAGAAATGCCCGCCGAGCTCTCAATTTCATTATAACGAAGTGTCACAAAAACGCACGTAAACGAGGGTAGGTCGTTTTTTCAGGACAACAAACGTTTAGTGTTTAATCACATTTTTTTTTGTCACAAACGTATTTTTTCTACATTTTTGAGTGCTAAAGAACTTAGTCTGATTGAAACCTTGTGCGTGCAAAGTCCCAGGTCAAAATGCGAAACTTTGATTTTACCGAAAAACTGGAATCCTATAGAAAGATTGTAGTAAAACTTGAATATCTGAGTCAAATCACAACTTGGGTCCATATTCTCTTAGGTTTTTTTCTAGTCTATACATCCACTAGCTGTGGGTAAAATATGATCTCAAAACTTTTTTAGCACTTGAAGAAGTTTTCACGTCGGTAAAAGTGATCTGGTTTCGGCTGTTCTAGTTTTTGAGTTTCGATCCTGATGCCTTTAATTTTTTGGAGTCTTGTTGTTGATCCAGACCTAGAGAGAACTTTTTCAGAATTTCTTCGCATTGAGTTTTAGAAAGTTCTTAAATACTCGTTTTTTTTATTGGTTCAGTCGACGAATGCCACTTTTTTTGATCATCTCTCCTGATTTTTGCTTTGGTCGATATGTTTTATAACACAATTCGCCAAAAATTATAGAAAATTTATCCATAAGTTTTAGTTTCATTTTAAAAAAATTTTCTCGACGTAATGATCCCAGTCCGGTTCCTGTAAATTTTTATTTGTTTGGTCCCGATCCCGATGATCGGGATCGAAACTAGAACTGGCCTCCCACATCTATATTTATCCATCAATATTTAGTTTAGTGAGTCCATTTTTTTTCTCTCTCTCCATCGTTTTCATCTGACGTAGTTATAACTATAAACGTTGAGTCATCTAACAGAAAAGAAGTGATGATAAAGGAAAAATTAAGAAATACTTTTTTCTGCTCATCACTGTTCTTCCCCTATTTTTGCATCGCCGATCTTCTGATTTAAATAGGTGGATGAAATCAATTTTTCCCGTGTCGCCATCTTCTCCCTTGTTTTTCCTATCTTACCGTTCTCCTGAGTCACCATAAAATAATTCTTTTATGGCAAAAATTTGAATTTGATTGCAAAATCTTAGACAGACCAAGAATAAAATTTCGCGGAGAAAATGTTTCATCCCTGGAATATATATTACGCGCAGTTATTCACATTTTCTTTTTCTATACGTCCAAACTACCATTACAAAAAATATTAACTTCAAAAAATTACTTTTTTCTCTATTCTTTACTAACTAAAGATTACTATATTACTTTTCTCCATTTTACAAAGATATTACTATTCGATCATCCACGAGCACAGTATGAATGCATTATTGATTAGCCTCCTTCTATTCATGGCTTGCTTTACATCTTACCAATGTTACCAGGTGATGGAATCCTATACCATTGCTATCATGCCAAGACGTGAAGCAATTCGGACGTTGTTAAACTTGCAAGATCCAACTAACGCTACCAAACTTGGTGCTTGTCTTCCTACTCCTCCTCCTACCGATTGCAGTGACAGTTGTAGTGGTAATTGTGGTTGTAATTGTGTTGGTCCTCCTGGTTGTGTTGGTACTCATCAATGAACAGATTTGCATGGCCAGTAGAAAAAGACTACTATACTTTATTTTCTGTTCAAAGAACATTTTTAATCATTTACTTAAATTTAGTCTGGATTTTTTATATAATCAAGATTTTATGAGTGAATTTTTTGGTTGAATAAAAGTGTGTTTTTTGGTTTACTTAAGTTCCTGTGGTCTTTCATGAATAGCAAGCAACCTCTAGAGACATCAGTCTTTCAGCAGTTCTGAGAGGAAGGTTTTGCCACTATAATTTCTGAATTAGTGAAACCTAGCTCTGCTGTGAATATGATCGACTCGTTTACAGTGAGGTTTTCGCCTACGGAACCTGAAGGAGCTCGAGGTTCAGGGTATCGGATACTTTTGAGCGCTAGTGTAATTAAAAATTATTTCTCTCTGAGTAACGGTTATAATAAAAAATCAAAAAAGAAAAAAGACATTCATCTATCGGTTTCTCGTTCTCTTTTAGACGATTTTTATTGCTTTTATTTCTCTAGATCGTCACGTCTAACTCTTTTTGTACTAGACGACACAAATAGAAAACAAAAGTTTACAACACATGGTCATGTATCACTCTTCTGGATTTATTTCATTCGATGTGAAATTCACGTGTAAGTTAATTTTTTTCCTCTTTTATATATAAAATTCTTTAATTTTTTTCTAGACATTTTCACTCTGTTATTCGTACATTCACTTCCATTCTCTACTTTATGTTTTGTTTCTGTTATAATACCAGATGAAGATCTCATATATATAAATGAACGTTTACAATTAAAAGTACATATGAATCGTGAAGATGCATTAAATTCAATTATCGAATTAGAAAATTATTATATAGGTCTCAAAAATAATTTACATGGTTCACCATCAGAAATGGTTGATGAAGCCTGGCATGCACATATATTAAATACACCAATGTACTTTCGTTTTTCTACGGCAGAATTTGGTTCATATCTGCATCATATACCATTTTGGTCTGGTAATAGAAAACAGATAGGCCAACTGAATGATGATATATCAATGCTTGAAAAATTAAAAAAATTGGGCATTGAAAATATAAATGAAACTGTCTGGACATATCGATCGAAAAAAATGAAGAACTAGTGGAAGAAAAAAAGCTAGGAGAACGCCATGAAAAACTTTCGACTTTCGATAACGTTCGCCACTACTTTCCATCTGTTAGCGTCAATGGTGAATGAGTTGTTGCCGCTAACTTCGATGGCTAGCTAGTCACTCCATTCTATCCATTGTGTCTGCTCGTTTTCATTTTTTCTAAGGGTGTGAGTTTAAAAGGCAAATAAAGAATTAAAAACTATCGAATCATCTCACTTGTCCACAAAAAGTGCACGTCATTTTCAACAGAATGTATCCACAGTGAGGGGTGAGGGGTGAGGGTGTGGGTGTGCGTGGGTAGTGCCTAGGATGTGAATGTTCAACCAATGACATGGTTTCAAACACAACTTGATTTGGATCATCTTACACGAGAAGATACAAATGCTAATCTGATTTTACTTGATGCTCAAGGTCTTTATTGGTTAATTCAAGGTATTTGTGAAAATATAACAACCATGTTGTTATCAATATGCTCAAATTAATTGTTTAAAACAAACTCAATGTTATTATCATATCAGCGGCGGATCTAGGATTGTTGGAGGGGAGGTGCGGTTGTAGGCAAAAAGTGTAATTCCAGATGCATTCGAGGTAGTACGAACTTGTTTTTTCGTTCGTTTTTGCTGGGAAAAATCGAAAAAGTTTTCTTAAAGAGGTGCGATCGCTTCGACGCACCCCCTAAATCCGCCACTGCATGTGAATATCCATACTCTCCCACCTTATTAGGAGCAGCATGCAGGACGAACTTTTGTTGTTGTATGGCGCTGGAGTGCCAAGTCTATTTTACTGTTCACATTTTCTCTTGTTCCATACAGTTCGTTTGGCAAGAAAACTTGTCATATTGATGATATTTCTATTTGCTATAAAATTGTGAATTCACCTAGAGATGCGAAAGCTTCTTTTTCATTTTCTAAAGTTAAATCTTTTGCATATCTTCCATAGTCGATGTGAATTAATTTAAAACTGAAACATTACTGGCTAATTACTTTTCCCTTGAGAAGGACATGATTGTTAAAAAAAGACGCTAATCAATAAAAACATTAAAAAGCCATTTATTTATTTGCTTTTTCAAAACTTTCCTAAAGCGAAGGAGGTGGGGCGTAGGTGTGGGTGCGGGTGAGGTGTGTGGGTGTTTGTGTGGATCGATTAGGACACAACAGAAAACCACAACCACACCCACACCCTCCCGCCCACACCCACACCCACACCCTCAAGTGTAGAAGACATGGAGGTCAAATGACGCATAGAGAAATTTGCGTAGAATCTCACACGTATACCATTGTACTAGATGAAGGTGTCACGAAAGAATCCATAGAAGTCAGAAATTATACAAAGTGTGATATATACATCTCAGAATGCCATGGTGTCCGATCAATTCAACACGATCAATTGATGATATATAAACGAGACAATTTATTAATTGAATTAAGTCATTAAGTTCAGTAAGTTATTTAATTGATCATATAAATATATATTCTATTACGAATTTATTGGATGTACATGATGAATGGAATAGACACTTCGAAGGTACAGACAATTTACTTCTGAAATATTTGCTTTCAGAACTTTTTAGTTAAAATGAAAATAGTTTGCTGGTACATGAGACTCAATTTTTTTTTCAGTAGACAACTTTTGAAGAAATCTTTAGCCCAACAAAGCCATGATAAAATCAAAATTTACTCTTACTTGAACTGTATGGCTGATTCACTAGTTTTTGCGACTATTTTCTGTGAGTTTGAAATCTTTTCGATCAGTAGATGAAGTATTTTTCAAGGGTGTGGGTGTGGGTGTGGGTGCGAGGGAAGAAGAGATTAATATCCACACCTTCACACTCACATCTATTTTTAAGAATAATATTATTTATTATAAAAAGAAACATAAATAATTTGAAACATTTACATAACAGTAACCATACATCGCAGCGACTTGATAATTCTCGTGGAGGACGTCCTTTGAAAAGAATTTTCTCGCTGGGATCCATCAGGACACTGCGATGTATGCAGTAACAATCAATAAAACTGTAACATACTATAAAAAAAAAGGTGCTTAAATAAAAGAAAATCAATTATAGTAATTTTTATATAAATTATGAATATTATAATCGAAACACAAAATACTTAAGCAACTACATAATCATCAAAAATACGAACCTATGAAATAAATATTTAAACATTTCAATAATAATAATTAAAATACTTATGTTTAGTCATAGTCTTTCATCTAATAACGTTAGGATTCAACGCATATCAAATAATTCATACAAATTTAATTAATACTATATATATTCCTCGATATTCTTCATCAAGCGGCAGGGTGAGATATGAAGGTGTAAGGGTAAGCGAGTGAGGATGCCGGCATCAATGAAAAGGAGGCTTGCAGGCACAGCGACACCTCAAGCACAATTCGCTCCAGCGAAAATAATATAAGCAATTGTCTGATAAGGTGGCATAATACTGAATGAGTTTCCACCACCAGCCGAGGTGGTGGAGCCATGAATTAAATGAGAATGACTGCCATTATCGTTGATGATTATTCCAGTTTTTCCCGTCGGAATATCATGCTGATGATTATATTTGTCGTCGAAGTTGGTGCCGATGAAGTCGTAGGTGTCGCGGACGTTGAAGGGGTCGCGGCCGCGGCGGGTGAGTTCGTGTGTTCCAGTTTTTCCACCATGATTATGACCTGGATCATAGACCATATGTGTATGTGTGCCTTGATAGGTAGTTTGTAAGGTACCAGCACTATGGTGATGAATAGGTATTTGATCAATTGTGAGGGTATGGTTTTTATTTCCTCCACTTTTCCAGCTGGTTATATAAGTGCCGATTTGATTGTGACCTAGTGGGAAACGGCCACGAAAGTCTGGCAGGTTGAACGTTGTGTTTTTATCTCCAGTTCCGAATGATTCACCAATAACAGAGAAGAGTCGTTCATATTGAATACGTGAAATTTCAGTTCCATTACAGAAAAGCCAAGGATAGGGGGGATGACTGGCAGCTGAATACAATCTAATTTCACCTGTCATACATGTAGATGATTGAATGACACTTTGTTGTGTTAATCCACCGAATGTCAGGGGCAGGTTTAATGTGCTCATTCTTCGTATCATGGCATGATTCGTTTTCTCAGCTGTCAGTTGTATTGCTGTTAGAGCAACTTGTAGATGGTCAATGATATCTGTCAGTTTATAAACTTGAAATGATTTCGGTATAATCTTTTCCCCTTGCCATTCAGTTTGTATTGACTTCTGATCAAGATATTTTTTAATATCTGTCAAAGAGATAACATCTTGCGTTGTTTTTCGTGTAGCACCTGATTCAGTCTTATTAAGTGATGCAGATATCTCCAAACTTCCTGATGCAATTTCATGAATGCTAGCTGAGTTTTTATATGCTCCTGACATCGCCAACGAGTTGGCGAATTCTTCATTACAGTCATAGTATTTATCAGTTGTATTACGATAATTAGTTTCAGCCTGATTATAAGTGAAGATTTTATTGAGTACCGTAGTAAGACGATCAGGATTTAAGTCATTAGAAGACCAAACTTGGGCATACGCATTGACATTCAATTTCTCTTGTTTTGAGTTATCCATGCCTAAAAATAGGAAATGAAATATGGACAGAAAATGCATAAAAGTTTTCTTTTTTGGTTAAAATCTGGTCTCAGACATATCAAACTACTTAAAAGAAACTACTAACCTTGCTGCATTAGAAACTTGAATTGATCTTCTAATCCAGAAGTTAAACTGGATGTATCCGAATTTGGATCTTCTTTAAAAATCATCTTTTTAGTGTTGATCAAATAGCTAGAAACAAATTTATTCGCCTGAGTTCTATGAATATAAGTTGCTTTAGTATTTCCTCCGTCAGCTTTTGTTTTCGAGAAAACACTTTTTAATGAATCGCCGGTAATTGACACCATACTTGTTGAGACTTGGTTGAGACCAGCAAAGTAGAATGCAAATTCTACATCGTAGTGACCATTCATGACATGCGACATGACTTCTTTAGCGATGAGTTCCGATGAACACTGAAATCTAATTGTCATTATTTTTTCATTGGGATGTGTTCTACGATATGTCTCTACACCAAGCACCGGCTTATTATATGCATTAACAATGAAGGCTGAAAATGAATCGACGATGAGCGGAGCCACTTTAAAGTATCCAATTACTCCTGTTTTGACAATTTCTTGTCGTGCCATGTCCTCAACTTCATTATTACCAAACATAACAGAGAGAAGTAATTCGCTCATTCCAGAAGTCGAAATCCAATTAGCACCTCGGTTCTTTGTTGGAAACATGATTGGAACGTAATAGAAGATTAGATTTTTCGGATCATTTGAAAGTGACTTGTAGATATAGACTTGTTGTCCGTGATACTCAACAAGAGTATGAATTTGTGTGTTAACAATGCCTGTCCCATAACTTGAACCTGCTCTATTCACTGTGGAATCAGTGGTTGTCAATGCTATAGGTAGCAAAATTTCAAAACAAAATTGCAACTAAAGCTGGGAAAACAGTATACTTGATACTTACTCGACTGAGGAATTAGAAGAAGGATTATTGCTAGCAGCAAGTTGATTGTCATATTTCTATTTTAATATTAAGAGATCTGTTCTTTCTTCAACCGTAAAGAAGATATATTATTGTATTTAATAGGAAACTGTTATAAGTTGGTGATAACCAAGGCTATCTGTCTTTTCTTGTTTTCTTCGTTCCTATATTGTAATATAAAATATAATATGCAGTGTAAGTAAAATACAAGAATAATATATTATTATTTTCTCAGGACCAATATGAGATATACTGTTGACTTTTTCTTAAAAGAAGTGGAGACATTGGTTATTTATCTTCCTACAAGGAAGGTGGAATTTTCCCATATAAATTAGAGGCATATTACTGATAACTTCTCTATAAACAACAGATACCTATTACTGATATGTATTTTTCTGAAGTAGAGATACATTAATAATATATTTTCTCATAAGGAAAAGAAACATATTACTAGTAATTTTCCTGTAAGAACTAGAAAAATATTGTCAATGTGTTTTCTCATGAAGGAGAGATATTGATAATGTGTTTTACTCATAAAGAGCAGAAACATTGTGGAATATTTTTTCAGGTGAAGGAAAGATAAATTTATATTGTTAGCACAGAGATTGATAGAGAAACACTATGCAATGATTATGAACACTATCTGTCTCTGTCTTATGTTTCACGTCTCTGTACTATAATGCATAATATGCACGAGTGAGTTGCATAATCGTTATCTGATTGATGATTGGAGAATCTTTTGTTCAAAAAAGTTATTGCACTCAACAGATTTTAAATTTCTTTACATTATTATCGCGGCTTACAAATAGTTAATCACTTAGGAAAAAAAACAACTTTCCATCTCCAATGAATACTGACATATACATCGAACAAGACCAAAAGACCTATTTTTTGGCACTCCATGGAGAAAAAAAACAACCTTTTACCCCTCATTAAGGTAAACTTGTTTTAAATCTGTTTTGGAGTTTCTTGTAAGCAGATAAGGAGGCTTCCGAAATATGTAATTTGTTTGAATTTAAAATAAGAGAAGGTTTGGATCTGATTCCATCAAAATTCTCATTGCAACACTTTTTTGCAAATTCTATCTACCAAGATTAGAATTGGATTTTCATATGCTAATGAAGATTCTTACAACTTCGAAAACAGACAGAAAGATAGAGCGTAACAAGTTCCACATTTTGGCGAAACAAGACAATTTTTAGAGCTTCCTATTCAATTATAAATGAACATGAAACATGTGTCTACATAAACGGCATGCAACACACATAATTATACTCAAACTCATATTGCGTAGTGAGTTTAGCCACTGGACACACACCTGAAGCCAAAATTACTAAATCAGACTTAAATCTAACTTCCAAATGGCTTGGATTTGGTAGATTTCTGAGCAGTATTGAAGGTACTGATAGATGTTGATATTGAAGTACTGAACTTAACTACCCAGGTCGAGAAATCCGACCATTGAATGTTATCGGATTCGATCTGATTCAATGTCGGATTATGTCGGAAATAGTCGGATTCCGACTTAACCCGGTCGAATTCTATCGAATCGAACCCAGAAACCAGTGAGCCGGAATTCGACAAACATTTAATTAGGAAAGGATGTTATCGGATCCGACAAGTACTGATGAAAGCGTTTGGTAAGATCTTATCGGATCTTGCAATGAAAGTTAATAGATTCGACAGTATTCAATCAGACTTTAATCATTACGCTTCAGTAGTTGTTCTCTTTCCAATTCACTACTATTTGTTACATTTATAATAAATATTAAGATTTCTGTCGACAGTGTGAAAAAACTCATTGTCCACCCTTCTAACCATTTTATTGAGAAAGCAAAGAGGAGAGAACCCAAGACATAGTCATTAAACACAGTGCAAAGATATAAATAATCCATAAACTATAACCTTACATCAATATCCTCATATCGCAGGAGCAGCGCGACCGGGGGGGGGGGATGGATTGGTGACCTCCCTGCTTCCAAAATATCACCAATGGGGCTTTCTCCGATTTTGGAGAATATATCTAGATAGTTTTCTCCAATTTTGGAGAATATTTCTAGATAGTTTTCTCCGGTTTTGGAGAATATATCTAGATAGTTTCCTCCGATTTTGGAAAATATTTCTAGACAATTTTCTCCGATTTTGGAGAATGTTTCTAGACAATATTTTTCGATTTTGGAGAATATTTCTAGCTAATTTTCTCTGATTTTAGTGAATGATAGAAGACTATTTTTTATAAATTTGATTTTTTATACTGTATGAACAATAGTGTCTGGCTTAGACATGAGAAGCTTCATGTTTATTTGATGTAAGAAATTACTTATACTAAAAATTGATTAAACAGTAAATAAAAAATATCTTCTTTTTATTATTACTTATTGTTTATTGACTAACCAAGAATATTCAAGGTAATTCAAAGAACATAGTGAAATTTGCCGGCTTCTAAAAGAGTGCATAGGTAATACGAGGAAAATTTTTGAAACTTTCTACGATTTTAAGACATACCCAAGGGGGAAACGGCGTATTCCAGATTCCCGGGGTTCCCAAGATTCCCAGGATTCTCACGGGAATCCCGGGAATCCCGTGGGAATCCCATGGGAATCCCGGGAATCCCGTGGGAATCCCATGAGAATCCCGTGGGAATCCCATGGGAATCCCGGGAATCCCGTGGGAATCCCATGAGAATCCCGTGGGAATCCCATGGGAATCCCGGGAATCCCGGGGAATCCCATGGGAAACCCGGGAATCCATGGGAATCCCTGGAATCCCGTGGGGATCCCATGGGAATCCCGTGGGAATCCCGTGGGAATCCCGTGGGAATCCCATGGGAGTCCCATGGGAATCCTGGGAACCCCGTGGGAATCCCATGGGAATTCCGGGAATTCTGGAAATCCTGTGGGAATCCTGGGAATCCCGGGAATCCCGGGAATCCGCCGTTTCCCCCTTGATTTTGAGTCTTCTTCTAATTCTCCAAATTCTGAGTCAACTTCTTCGTCATCATTGTCATCACTAGTATGTTTGGCCTGTTTATTTTTGCTGATTACTTTATCTATTGATGATTCTTAGGCACAGGATTCCCTGGATTCCTAGGATTCCCATGGGATTCTCGGGATTCCCAGGATTCCCGTGGGATTCCCTGGATTCCCTGGATTCCCATTGGATTCCCAGGATTTCGAAGATTCTCAGGATTCCCATGGGATTCCCTTGGGATTCGGAATCCGGGGAATCCACCGTTTCCCCCTTGATGTTTGGCCTGTTTATTTTTGATGATTACTTTATCTATTGATGACTGTTAGGCAGAGGATTCCCTGGATTCCAGGGATTCCCTGGATTCCCATTGGATTCCCAGGATTTCCAAGATTCCCAGGATTCCAATGGGATTCGGAATCCCGGGAATCCGCCGTTTCCCCCTTGCTATCAGGTCACACAATAATGGTTTCTCTAGAGTACCAGCTATGTATCTTCCCTAGTGTTAGGGATAGAGCTTGGAAAATTTAGGATGTTATTTGTGTGGTTGGAAAATATTTTACTTCATAGTTAGAGGCTTTTCAGATCTGTAATAAAAGAGAAAACATTTTGTATCAAGCATCTACGTTTTTTTCTCACTCTGTAACTAACACGAGAGAACGTCAACTCTCAGTCGAAAGCAACACGAACAAAGAAAAGAAGCTTTCCGTGTAATTAATAAGCGGTAGAGAAGAACTGTTGCTAAATAATTTTCATGCCTCAAACAAAGCACACGAGCACACATAATAGGAGCATACGATAATGAAAAGAGACCATTGATTAGCATTCTGTGCATTGATACAATCAAAATATTATAATGTGAGAAATTCTTTTTGTCTAAATAACTCTTGCTCGTGTACACTGCTCATACCGAAACTAATTGACGCCTATTTATTACTAATACAGCGTTCAAGTCTTGTACTCATTTCAATGTTTATAATACTTATTTCATGCAAAACTCTAATCTATTTGGGGCCTTCATTCTTATTGCAGTAGCGACATAAATATTACGCATGAGAAATCATTCCGTTTTATGTGGAAAATAGCGCCTCAGTAATCCTTTTTGTAATCATATTTCTTCATTCTACTCATTTACCAGCATGCCCGAGCTCATTATTTTCGTTAAAATCTAAAAAGGCATTCAATTAGTAATGAATTTGTATGCAAAATATATGTTCCACTTCAACTCAACGACTAATTTCTCGGAACTTGAAGAAATCAACTGAATTCCGACAAATGAATCCTTCTGAATTCATCGGATTGAGACAGATCAGACAGAATCCGATGGCTCACTTTCGACCTCGGATACTTTTTTCTATTTATTCTAATACGACAAATGCGAATTATAAAAGACATCAGAAGGAAATAACATCTAAGCTTACCTCTGTATAACAGCGTGCAATAATCTGGATATGAATATGCACCGATATATATATGTCTATGGTATGAGAATGATATACTGCTAATGTTTCTAATGGTTAATGATAAGCCGTTCTCTAACTATATAAAGAATGTCTTCGCTCGATTCGATATGGGTTTTTCCCACTTCTATCATTACTAAGCAATCTTCTCATTCATGCTTGATGTGGCTATCTATTTTTACATCTTACAGCATATCATCTTAATATGTAGCAAAGTACTTGATTAGAGAAACAGACAAGAAGAACTGTTTTTCTGTTCTATGAAAATAACAACTATCGATAGAAAGAGATAATCTGCTACATTTTCCATAAATTCACAA